ATTATCAACAACGCAGTCCAACGCATCCCAGTTCCTGAAATGTAGTGTTTTTTGAAACACAAGGTTTGAGCCTGACCGCAACCATCTTTAAAATACTATGTAATTACCATCAAACCATTACTTTCCGACTCTCTTTTAATCCATCCCTCTTTCAGTACCAAGAATCGTCCTCAGCACTTTATCAAAGCGCAGAAACCCCTGAAATCATTACAGATCCATGCTGGACTGCAGCAATACTCAGTTTAGCAGAAATGCCTCTAATGCTAATTCCAATTTACATCTCCCCACGTCGCATAATAGAAACACACTTCACACACCAGGTCGGCCAGGCATCTTTAATGCTGTTAAATAGAGCTCGATTATATCCAGTCCATCAAAGTCACTTGGGTGCTCTCTTCCTATCGGCGCTCTCTAATTTCTACCCATTTCCACTCAGGAGAAGCTGAGAGGCATGAAAACATCAGGTGGAAGCCATCTGGCTATCTCATCCCTCTTTCAAGCTGATTTTCTGAATCGTATTTCTGTAAAGAGGGTGAGCCACAGGTAGCAGATTGAACTCGTATCCCCCCGTTTGGGATATCAGAGGAGAGGGTATATTTCTGCTGGAGCGCTCCGGTCTACAGACACCTGTGGTCGGCCTGATTACGAGCCCTGACATCTAACACTGAGGGAGTGTGTAATTCCACTGGCATCTGCTGATGAGCCTCGCTGTGTGTGTGTGCGTGTGTCTACTTTTGGCTATGTATACACACTCAGATGCACGAGTATCGATTAAAGCCCAGTTTTACATAAAAACACGCACATGCAAAATGAAATACGCAAACAATTACCACACACACTCGAATGCATGCATCACTGGCTGTATTGTTAAAGTAGATGCACAGAAGAGCGTCCCGTGTGCAGATTCACACCCTGCTGGTGCTTTTCTGCCCTGTTAAAGGCCAGAGGGCAGAGCAAGGTCACATCCAGGAACCGGGGCTGAAATAATAGATTATATAAGCACTTGAGAGAAGAGAGAAGGCAGGCTTGGTAATGCGGAGAGAAATGATGAGAACAGATGATAAAAATAAAAAATAAAAAATAAAGATTGGATGCAGCCGAGGAGAGAGAAAATGAATATGAGAGAGGAAAGGGGCGGTCGAGGATGAATTTGGGAGCAATATCTCCTTCCAGGTAGAAGTCAGTGAGTGGAAAGTAGAAATGAGCTTCTTGAAATAGATGGAATTGATTTTGGAAGGTTGAAGGGCCAACCTGAGACAAGAATTATATATGTAGACTGATTATAATATATATATTCACTACTGTTCTTGATGAATAAGTTCTTCTATGAACTTATTCATCAAGAAATTATGAAAAAAATGTACTATGGTTTCCACCAAAAAAAAAAAACAAACTTTTTTTCAGCATTGATAATAATCATAAATGTTTTTTGAGCAGCAAATCAGCATATTACAATGAATTTTTGAATAAAAGACTGGAGTAGTGATGCGAAAAAGTCTGTTAACTAAGTAGTAAAGTTATTAAGATATATATATATATATATATATATATATATATATATATATATATTGGGCTGTACAAAAATTAATTGCATCCAAAATAAAAGTCTGTGTTTACATAATATATTTGTGTGTGCATATAATTATATTGTATATATAAATACTTATGCATCCATGTATATATTTAAGAATTATTTGCGCTTAAATTCTGTATATATATATATATATATATATATATATATATATATATACATAATCTAAATTTTATAAATATAAATATTTTATATAAGAATAACACATTTTCTTAAATATATACATGCATGTGTGTGTATTTATATATACAAAATAATTATATACAGCACACACAAATATATTATGTAAACACAGACTTTTATTTTGGATGCGATTAATCGCAATTAATTTTTTATTTTTTATGTATATATACTTACATACTCTCCAACACAAATATTTGCACAGAGTAGTGGCCAAAAGTGGTGTGCGGCCTAGGAAAAATAACCTTTATTCAAATACACTCTAAAAGTGCTGGGTTGTTTTAACCCAACTTTGGGTCAAATATGGACAAACCCAAACATTGGGTTAAAAATGTAACCCAGTGGCTGGGTTTGTCCATATTTGACCCAAAGTTGGGTTAAAACAACCCAGCATTTTTTGTGTATGATTGAGTGATTCGAGTGTATGATTACGTACACGAGTATAGAATTAAAATTGTATTCAACACTCCCTCCTTTTTTAATGTTCACATACAGTTGAATCTCATTCCACATCCTGTCGTTTGGTTTTCCTCTCAATCATGTTACCTTTTGACACCAAGCGCCCCATCCTGTCATCGCTGGACAGGGGAGCCATTGTGGACTCATCTCCAAACTCCTTTCTGGCCAGACGTTCTCTCTTCTGTGTTCGATTGACAGCGAATACACACACTGTCCCCTGTTTTTACTCTCCATGTCCCACACTACCTGCACTCTTTTTCTTCTTAAATGTCAAGTAAGGACAGCCATGTCCAGTAGAAAGACCTCTTGGTTATGTTTCTGTATGTATCTCCCTCTTTCACTGTCTTTCTCTCTTTGACAGGCATTTTCCAGGTCAGCCCACACAGAAAGACATCTAAAAATGGGGCTAAAAATATCTTTATAATGCATTCTCTGACAAAAATGATTTGTTTCATGAGGTTACACTCCTTTCTATTCTTCCGCTTCTATCTGCAGCTGTTTCTGTGGCGTTCAGAAACCTGATTTTTTATTTCATCATTTTGTGAGCAAAAACCAATTAAATGAATTCGAAAAACGGTATTTGATTAGGTCTGTTGAAATCCTTTTTATTTCGAGGTTTAATGGGGCTATTCAAAATGTTGAGGTCAACTTTATAATTGTTTTGTTTTTTTTGCAAAAAAACAAATATATGTGGAAAAATTATTCTTTTCAACCTGAAAATAATAATTCTGAACCTCTGTCTGAAATGATTTTTTTAAGTGGCGGCTCCTTTAAGGCTCGTCAGTAAACGGCCACTGTTATTGGCTAAGGTCACTACATAGGAAACAGTATCAACACCCCCCGTCCATCGTGAACACGCATCTGTAAACTGTATCAGTGTAGACAGCGTCAGTGATTATAATGGGTTTTATGTTTTTAACGCAACGCTCCCATCCAGTGTAGGAAAATGTCCGCCGTTAAGCGACTGAACGCCAGTGGGCGGAGCCTATGAGGAGATGATGTAGAACTATTCGTCGATGTCTCGCTCTGGAGGCAGGCATATGCAAATTAATTTTCCCATGTGACGTCACAAACGCTGCAATATCAAAACTAACCGTTTTTTGAGTTTGATTAAATAAATGCTTTGTTTATAATGTGGAGGACTATAAAATTTGCTTCGTTTTTTAACCCTTTCACGCGTACGATCACACCGGTGTGATCAGTCTTGGCTGGTCCCTGGAGCGTACGATCACACCAGTGTGATTAGAAACGTTCAGTGCACACGTCAGCAACTGCTAAATTCGAACTTGGCTGGCGCTCAGCCAGAGACAGACGCACTCAGTGCTGTCATATATCACAACTATTGAGTGTTTTCAACCACATAATGTTTGTTTTAGGTTTCAGACATTTAAATACACATATGTACTAGCAAAACAATGATTTTGAGTTTGTAAAATACACACAGATGTCTATAGAAGCGGCAATAATAATCCTTTCAGTTATAATAAGACGACACGTTTTATTCATATCAGATACACATTGTGTAAGTAGCTTAACATTTGATCCTATTCTTCTCCCAGTTCACCAGCCATTTACTATCATGTATTTCGTGAGAAGTGGATGAATTGACGTTATAAATCCAACAGATCCGATTCTCTGAACTGAAAACGAAACTAAAATGGCGCCGCCCGTTGTGCATACAGCTCAACTAACGCGATCGTTATAAAGATGTCTAAACCACAAAACCCATCCATTTGCACATATTTGACAATCGGAATATCAGTGTTTCATGATATAGCTAATACATTTTTGAATATTTTTAATAAAAAAAGGAAAAATTACATAAAAGCAGATCATCATTCATTCCGCGCTCTGTTCTGGTTGTGCTGCGTCACGTGACAAGCAATGACGCGTCACCATGGAAACATTAAAGTGGCAAGTTCTAAATAACGGTCGCCTTGAAAAACTCACGCTGGGGGGTCAGTTAGAATATTTTAAACTTACGTGTGAAAGGGTTAATGGTACAAAGACCTCTCACAAGTCAAAAGATCAATGTAAATATTTTTTTTTTCAAGTCATGTCCCTTTTAAATTAGATCCTAGATTTTCATTTTGGTTTCATTCTGAAAAAAGAGCTTAGGTTTTATTTTTGTGCTGTGTATGTATAGAAAGGCTAAACTCCCAGTTTACACACAAAGACAAGTGTCAACACTGTGTGTATGTGCGAGCACAGCACCCTCTGTTCCTGTTTCCCTAGAGGCTGTTTGAGCCATGTGTGTGAGAACACGTGCCTGGTGTGTTATGCCCACCTTCCCTCAGGTCCTCTTCTCTACCACCCTCTCACATTTTCAAAGCGAGGCGGACGATAGCTTGACCCGAGCGAGAGGAGGGAGGAGGACTCGGGTGTGGGTGTGGGAATGGGAATTCTTGTTTTTCATACCTCAGAGGTTAATTCCTGATTCCCCCACATTGATTTTGACTTCACCCCCGGGAGCCAAACAAGCCGTCGGAACGGGGCGTTAAAGAACGAGAGAGAATATTCCCAGATCTAACATTAAACCACTTTGATCTTGTAGCCGATTTGTGTCTTTCTTGATAATCTGTGTTTATGATGCTTTTTGTTGTTTGCCTTTGCTTTTCTTTTTGTCACCTTTTGAAGAATGAGAAAAATAACCTCTTGTTTTTTGCTCTTTCTTGTTTTCTTTTTTTGATTTTTTTTTTTCTCTTGCCACAGTAATCTTTTTTTGAATTTTCTCTTTTCTCTTTTTCCCTCCTTTTTGTCTTAACCCTAGGTCCACTCACAAAAAAACACGATGAGTCAACACTGAACCGGCCACGAGATGAAGGTATTTTTGTTGCATGTTTTTCCTTTTTTCTTGTCTTTTTGTTTTTGAAGTCTTTTTTGGCAAATTAAAAAGCAAACAGCCTTTCTTTGGTAGTGATGAAGAGTATATGAAGGAAGCACATGTGCATATATGTGTGTGTATGTCTGTGTGGGACGAGGTGAAACGAGACGCGCTACTTCCGAAAGTTGAAAAAACACGGGTGTAATACCCCGTACTGCCGTCTGAAGCACAATTTTACAGCAGTGGCTTTATGATGTTTCTCAAGATTATTAGGCTTTAAACTTATCTCCAACTCTCACGAAGACAGAGGTGTTTCCACTGTGTTTTGTCAGTGTGAATAGTTCTGATAAATCAGGATGCGGACGAGAGCTGGAACACCACAGATACACACACATGGATCAGCACATGTTGTCATCTTTTATCTGGGAGATTGCTAATAGTGTTCATCATTTTTTTTTCTTTTTTTTTTTTGAACTCCTTTCTTGAGAGCAATGTGTGTTTTTGCCCTGATGTTCCTTCTTGTGTTTTTTTCTTCTTTTTTCTTCTTCCCTCTCAGTCTTGGTGTTTTAACCTGTAGTTCTTTGGGAATGTGAAAAGCTCCTTGTTTTTCATGCAATTTGACACTGGTTGGTTTTATTGCATTGGTGAACTGCTGGTTGGGTCATTGAAAGCTTGTGGCATCACTGAAATGTTATGGACGCTTTAACTAGCTTATTAGCACATTATAATGATGATGATGATAAGTGTGGTGAGGAAAAGATCTGGGATGAAGTTCAGCCACAAATATCCATCTGTCTGTCAATAAATAGAGTATTAGGCCTTTATAAGTACTACTAATAATTGATAAACATTTTCAGCCCATTCTCACTCCCAAGGCGTCACCTAACTGACGCCTTGGGAAGCATTTGGGCATGCTTCAATATCTGACGCTTTAGGCGCCCTTTAGCGTCAGTTAGATGACGCCCTAGGATCGCGCGTACCCTACCCCCACCCCACACCTAAACCTAACCGCGTCCTCTAACTGACGCTTTCCTTTAGCGTCAGTTTGATGACGCCGTAGGATCGCGTCATGTAAGTGACGCTAAAGGGCGCCTAAAACGTCAAATATTGAAGCATGGTCAAAGGTGTCGCCTTGGGGTGAGAATACGTTGACATTTTATATCAATCTATATATAAATATACTACTGTTTTACCAAATAAGGAGGAATAATTTGTCACATCTATGAATTGTGTGTGTGCAATTATATAAGTATACATTACATAAATAATTTGTATTTTATACAATTATCAGAGGTGGGTAGAGTCTACGTACACTCAGTTTTCATTTCATTTTTCATTTTATTGTTTATTTTTACAGGGACAATGCACAATTAAAAGTAATTGCACCAGAATTAGCTAGCTAGTTTACATCTGCTGTCTCAAAAAAAATTATATGTTGGGTTTAATTCATTTTATTTCATCAACAAGTTCCACATAACTGGATTATGTTAAACAAACATAATTTGTTCATGTAACTTCAACATCATGAAATTAAGTAATTTTAACCGACCCAATTTGAGTAGTCTCAACGTGAATTTTTAAAGCTTCCTGACAAGATTCAGGTATTAATTTACATTCATTAATCCATTAATACTTCATTTATTTTAGTGACGCATAATAAAATTGATAGATTATAGCTAGCTATTTGCTAGCAGTAGCGCATATTAGCGTCTTAAATGCTAAGTTTTGCATGCTCCTTCAACCAAAGCAATAGAAAAGAGTTAAATTAGTCGACAACCAAACAAAACGCCCCACTCTTCTCCACAATGGTAACTCCCTGTAATTTAAATAGTTCTTATAATTCCAATGTAATTTTACATTAAACACAATTACACACTATCAAGTCTTCTCCTTTTCTAAATTTCTCACAAAAAGATAAAATAACCCTTAATTTTAAGATTTATTCTCTCTTAATTCAACCATATGCAAAGCATGCTGGGATCTAACAAGTAGTTAATGCAACACAAATCAATCATGTAATCCAACACAAACGGATTGAGTAAACTTAAATTGTATATATTTAAGCAGATTGAACACAATCAAATTAAGTTCAGGCAAAATGGCAATCGGCTCGCACTATACTGCCACCCTCTGGATGTACGAAATTTTTTACTTAACGTAAATTGTTTGTGTTTAGACAACGCTTAGTTTTTGTTTTGTTTTTTTAATTGTGAAGTTGAGACATAATTAGACCTTAGAAAAAAAAGCATTTCAAGTCAAAAAACACAATTATTATAAGTAAGCTAAATATAAATATATAATGTAAAGTGCAAAACCTTCCTAGTTTTCCAAGTTCACTAGCTAGTCGCTAGTTACTTTGGTATGTACTTATTTTTTATTTATTTATTTATTCATTCATGCCGTTTTACAACATATTACTTTATTTCCATGAACGAAAAAAAAATATCCTGTAATACCCGTCCTTATATAAATGTATATGTATTTCTATAATTGCACACTTAAAAAAAAATCCATAGATGTGACCTAAAATGTCATACTCTGTAGTAGTGGTATCCTGTCCTTAGTGTAATAATCAGTTTGGTTGTAAAATGTATTACCTGTATAAAAAAATCAATCGAATGTATCTATACCTGAAACGTTCACAGATCCCATACGCAAATGTTCAACTAATAAAGATCTTCATCGCTTGCAAACAAAAAGACTCATCTGCAGATTTGCCTTCAGTTGACTGGCAACTTCATCCAATGCTCTTGAATTTGCTGACTAATTCGCAAACCAAATTTACACAGTTAGAGTGATTCATTTGTGAATTGGACATCACTCATGTCCCTATAATATTTTGAGGATGAGGATGTCCTCAGCTGGACAACAAACTCTTTATTTTATATCCTTAAAGTGCTTTGTTTGAGATTGTGGTTTGAGGTTTGGTCTATAATCAGTCCTGTCCTCATATAGCTAGATAGATGTGTTTGTCAGGTGTTTATTTGTGAGCATGGTAGTGTTAAGCTGAGAGAAAGAGTGCGTGTGTGTGCCTGAGTGAGTGAGTGTGTGATTAGTGTGCGCCTCATCCGAAGGGTGGGTGTCGAGACAGAGGTGTGTGTCCACCTGAGCCCAGCTCATTATTCAGGCTGCGTGTCACATCATTATCAACTCGAACACACACTCTCACACACTTGAAATATACAGCTTCACGCTCGCTTTCTCCCGCCTTTCACTCTGTGTGGCTTTATAAATTGTTCAGCCAGACAGTGTCGAGCACGACCTCATACTCAACACCTCAGTCCAGATCAGCTGGATTGAACAAACCGAAGGCTGTAGGACCCTGAATCCGTGGACTCCTCATCCCGATCCGCAACTGTTCTGTTACAAGCAATCTGTTTAGGGGTTATGCTGTTCATGGCCCACCGCACGCAGGGTCTTTCCTTTTAGTATGTATGAGACATGTGCAACAGAGCAAAACGAATGTTGGAACAATTTCATTTTTTTAGATCTGTTGTTTTATTGATGTTTTATTAATGATTATTTATTATAAATAATCAATTTGATTTTTTTAAAATATTTTGTCTTAAAGAGTAGTTCACTTTAAAAAAACTTTTGCTGATAATTTACTCACCCGCATGTCATCCAAGATTGCCACGTCTTTCTTTCCTCAGTCGAAAAGAAATTAAGGTTTTTGATGAAAACATTCCAGGATTTTTCTCCATATAATGGACTTCAATGGGAACCAAGCGGTTCAGGATCCAAATGAGAGTTTCAGTGCAAACTGTTCAAACGGCTTTAAATGATTCCAGACGATGAATAGGGGTCTTATCAAGCGAAACGATCACTCATTTAATAAATAAATTACAAAGTTTAAGTTTTAGAAGCTCAAATGCTTGCCTTGCTCTGTTCTGTGTGAGCGTTCGTGACTCTCCTGTTTGAACTTGTTCATCAAAATGAACAAATCTTTTCGAGTCATGACTCGAAGGGTCCTAGATCAGACCCTTATTCATGGTCTGGAGTCGTTTAAAGCCCTTTGAACAGTTTTTGCACTGAAACTCTCATTTGGACCTTGAACCTTTTGGTTCCCATTGAAGTCCATTATATGGAGAAAAATCCTGGAATGTTTTCATCAAAAACCTTAATTTCTTTTCAATAAAGCTGTTTCGTTTAGAAGTTGTTCTTTTCTTCGCTGGTTCCTGAACAAGTCTTTCATGGATGGTTACCCTGATTTACAAACTGATTAGCACAAACGAAACTAGTGCGTCTGCAGCAATCAGTGTCTGATTGGTTGAGGGAATTAACACGCTTCAACCAGAATGCAGCAGCACAACTTTGTGTAGTTTAGCAGATTGTTTTTGTCAACACAACACCACAGAGATTCATTTTGGTTTCGGGATTGGTCATAAAGGGGTGGCACATTTCATAGCAGTCGTATCTTTACTTCTCGCCACAACTTGCTGGCTATTAACTTACATAAATAAGTCATATATATATATATATATATATATATATATATATATATATATATATATATATATTTAATTTGAGGTTAACCCAAATTTGGGTTTAAACAGCATTTTTTAAGGTTTGAAAAAAGGGGTCAGTGAGATTGTAGGCTAATTTTATTTTTATTAAAGGAATTAATTTTATCCAGCATGGAGATATTCAATTCATCAAGTGTCAATCATAGAATGCTGAAAAAATAAACACAACTGTTTTTATAATAACAAAGATGGGTTATAACAACCCAGCATTTTTTTAAAATATATATATATATACACACACACACACACACACACACACACACACCACCGGTCAAAGGTTTGCGGTCTGTAATACTTGAGATGTTCTACATGTAATACTTGAGATGTTATGTAATACATGAAATGTTCTCTCATGCTCAGCAAGGCTGCATTTATTTACTCAAAAGTACAGTAAAACTGTAATATTGTGAAAAATATTTACAATTTAAAATAATTGTTTTCTATTGTAATGTATTGTTTATTTTTCAGAATCGA